AATGCATCTATAAATGGATGATTTGGGGGTACCCCTATTTCAGGAAACCTTCATATCTGTATTATCTGCCTCCTCAGACTTGGTCCAGCATCCTCACAGAGGTCGGGGCTGCAGTTTGCCTCACAAAAATCGGTGGTTGAAGAAACAGAGAATGAAGCTTCTGGAGGAGAAAGGCTCATACCGAGTCATAGCCAAACTCAGTCTGCTACGGAAGATATCTGATGACTGCTGTGGCTAATTTTAAAAAAAAAATCCGGCACATTTCACTAGCACCAAACCACCACCTTGGCTGTCCCATTTTCAATGAACCTGATTCAAGGACTATCCGATTGAAGCACCAAAACCTCCCCAACAGCACACCTCCAAGAGCCATGGCCTCATCTGCGGCCAGGCGCTTCAGTGGTTCAATTTGGTTCAATTTGGTTCAATGGTGGCCCTCAATTTGGATTCAAGGCACGCTTTGGGTGAAAACCTTGGAGACCAATAATGATGGAACCAACTGCTGCAACTGCTGCCCGGACGTGAAGTCGCTATCCAACAGGAAGTCGAAGCCAAAGAGCTCGAAGCAACCAGATGGATGAGCTGGCCGAGGCACCAGGTTCACCAGGTCCACGGGTCTAAGGAGACTCTATGGATTGGGTTCTTGAAGAAGCACTTTCAAGGTGCGAATACTTTCAAACTACTACAAAACTGCAACTCCCGACTGCCTTTCAGTCTGCTCTTTGCTTCTTGCAGTGCGTACTCAGTTTTTTCAAGGCTTTAGAATTTGCTTGGCACGCCTTGCAATTTCCATGTCTGACTTGTTGCAATGCGAAAATCAAATCCAGCAAACCGGCGCAGCTGACTGCACCTCCCACGTCCTCTTTGCAACTCAAAACGCAAGTGCGAACCACCTGTTATGCGACTCACATGCGACTCGCACGCAACCCGCAGTGATGTCAATGGCCAAAGAATTGGGACAAAGAGCCGCGCATGCTATGGGAGGATTAACATGCCTGAATACAATGATAATTAATCAAAATGGTAATGTTGTCTGATGCTCGGATAGTCTCAGATATATAGATTGGAAATGAAAACCCCTGGCACCAATGAAGGCTAGAAAATATCGATCTTAAGCAGGTATTACCACTGAGCAATGAAGTGCGCGGAACCGTTTGCAAAAAACAAGATGCAGCCCACAAACCCGAATGCTCACACGTATGTTAATGGCACAGATGTCGAAACACATGGATATGCAGTCACGTAGAACACTTTCGTGAAACAGTTTATTTGAACAGTGGAAGGTGGTGGCGTGGAATATGGAATATGGAAGAAGGCGGCGTGCTAAGTGGAATATAGAAGAAGGTGGCTTGCTAAGTGTGGAGTGTGGAGTGTAGAGTCTGGAGTGTAAAGTATGGAGTGTAGAGTGTGGAGTGTAAAGTGTAAAGTGTGGAATGTGGAGCGTAGAGTGTGGTGTAAAGTGTAGAGTGTAAAGTGTAGAATGTATATACAGTGTAAAGTGGGGAGTGTGGAGTGCACAGTGTAAAGTGTAGAGTGTAAAGTGTAGAGTGTGGAGTGTGGAGTGTAAAGGGTGGAGGGTGGAGTGTGGAGTGTGGAGTGTAGAGTGTGGAGTGTGGAGTGCTGCGCCTGCCACGCAAAATGACGACAGAGATCTCCAAAATGCTGCGCCACGAAAACTGCAAATCATCTTGCGAAAACGTCGCAAAAGTATTGCGCTTGCCACACAAAACGACTTTCAACACGTTGATGTCACAAAGTGTCGTGCCTGCCACGCAAAACGACATGACAACCTGCTTGGAAACCTTCGAAAAGGAGAGGTTTTGCAGCTTCCCCCATAGACACGGCGATGCCACAAGGAAACCAGAGACTCGAGACACGTGGGAGCATCAAAGAGCATTTCGTGCGAGACATCCTTCAATTTTGACACTTTGTAGCTTCAAAATCGATGTTTTCCTACGAGTTTTCCTTCGAACCTGAAAATTTGCAACCTCAAAATCAATGTTTCGTGGGGGGCTTCCGTCAATTGTCATCACATCTCACAAAATGCAACGCCTGCCACGGAATTTGCACCTTGTCGCCACTTGACACAGCCCTGACAATGCGATTCGCAAAAAACACGCAACATGACACGTCTAAAGTGCTGCGCCTGCCACGCAAAATGAAGATGGACACGTCCAAAGTGTTGCGCCTGCCGCGAAAACTGCAACGCATCTTCTGAAAATGTCGCAAAAGTATGCAAAAGTATTGCGCCTGCCACACAAAACAACTTTCGACATGTTACAAAACACGTCTGGATGTCACGAAGTGCCACGCCTGCCACGCGAAACGAAGCAACGCCACATGTGAAACCTCCAAAAGCGTCCCCTTTTGCAGAACTTACCATAGGCACGGCGATACACGGTTACGAATGGTTGCGAACGGTTGCGGAGGTTTCCGGCTGCGAACATAAACGCAACGTCGAGCGAACACACCCTCAACCCCCAGACCCCCAGAGTGAAACGGGAACCCTTGCTACGCATTCGGGAAAAACAAAATACAATGTTCGTGTTTCAAACAATGACACATACAACGTTCACGGAATCCGTCTGATACCCCATTTAGATCCATTTAGTCTGCCTAGTTTGGACACATTGTGACACATTGACATGTTGAGACTTGTACACAGGAAACCAACACAGTTTGACTGCGAAAAACCATCAAAATCAGCCAGGTCCGACCTCCAGGATCTTTGGCCAAGTCCGTTCCTTCCAGCAGGAAATAGCCTTTGGGACTCGTTTCAGGCTGCTGAGGGCTCGTGGTCACCAGACAGCAAATAATATCAATCAAATCAACGAACCAACCAACCAATCAATCAAACAAACAAATCAATCAAAACCTTTCAAACCAATCAAATAAATCCAATCAATCCAGTCAATCCAATCAATCAAACCAAATCCAATCAATCCAATCAATCAAAACAATCAAATCGGTCAGTCAACCAACCAACAAACCAATCAACCAGTCAACCAACCAACCAACCAACCAACCAATCAATCAATCAATCATCCAAACAAACAACCCATCAAACAATCAATCAATGAACCAAACAAACAAATCAAACCAATCAGATCAATCAAATCAATCAAAACAATCAAAACAATCAAAACAATCAAAACAATCAAATCAAACAAATCAAACAAATCAAAGAAATCAACCAAATCAATCAAATCAATCAAATCCATCAAATCGATCGAAACAATCGAATCAAACAAATCAAACAAATCAATCAAATCGAATCAGCCCAAGTCACAGCCCAAGTCAAATCAAAATCTAATCTAGTCGCATCAAAACAAATCAAATCACGTCAAGTCAAATCAATCAATGCAATCAAATAAATCGAATCAATCAAATCAAATCAATTAAATGAAACCAAAAAAACAAATCAAATCAATGAAATCAAATCAATTATATAAATGAAATCAGATAAATCAAATCAAATCAATCAAATCAATCAGTCAATGAGTCATCATCACCACGTCCACCACCATGATATTCTTGCCGGATGTAGAGACGCCAATGAATGTATACAGACTCCCGAATTCCTGCGTGCCAAGTCGCATTGAGATGCTCCAGCTCCTGCTCCACCGGGTCACCCGCTAGGGTGGATAGCATCGGATGACTTGCCCCTCTATGAGTCAATAGCAACATGAGTAAAACGATGGACATCCGCCAGTGGTGAGAAAGACTAGAAGGTTTGCCAATGTCAAGGATAAATAGAACAAACAAATGGAGGAAGAAATGGTGACTATTTCTTGACCGCGGTACCTGCGTTTCTTGTGGGACTTCCAGTCCCTCCACGATCGGGAGCTCCTCTGCCCACTTCAAAAAGGCCGGTAGCATCATGATGTGAGCCTTCGCCATGGGAGGCAAAGGGGGTTGAACTGCCATGGGATACTTCCACGTGTGCTGCTGAGCAAAAAATGGTAAGGCTTGTTGCCTGCGAGGGTTACAAATCCAAGCAAACGTATCAGACCAAGGTGTCGTGAAACTTTGGAAAAAAAGTAGAAACATGCACAGTAGAAACAATCAGCATAAATCCACTCCGTCCCTGTCCTCGTCTTGGTCGGGCTCCTGGAAAGGAGACAGCATAAGCTGAAACTCTGCCACGTTTTACTTAATAGTATCGTGCCAAACCAAGTACCTTGCTGGACTCACAACCAAGAGCTTGAAGGCGTGCAAGATAGCAGTAAATCAGGCAGTCCCAAGTTGGGTACAGAGTTAGCAACGACTTTCCATGTTGCTTTTGGCAGTGTGGCGAAACACCTTACAGGCTCTTAGTTTCAGGGCATCCAGAAAGTAGTTCTTGGCATTTCACGTTATTCTTCAACCTCCCAAAACTTTCAATCTGCTGAAGGCCTTCGCGTCCACGCCATCATCTGCAGAAAGCGGAAGTTTACCCGTGGATTGGGATGCATTGCGCCAAGTTTGGTTCAAACATCATCAAGACGGCAGGTGAAGTCTAACCTCATGTATATAGTGTTACCTAGACTTGGATTGCCTTTCTCAAAATGTTACACTGACAGGAGCAGTTGTGAGCCGCTACAGAGCGCACTTTGGGGACATGTTCTCAAAGCACAGAAAATCCCTGGGTCGTCTACACCATGCGCCCCGCATCTGGGGCATCGCACGTCTTTGCACTGTTCGGTTGGTGAGGTGGACGAAAGGATCGTTAATCTGCAGATTGGTGGCACATGGCACAGCAAATGCAGAATAGCTCAAGCACTCAGGAGTACTCGAGAGCAAACGATCCAAACACAAACAGACCCAAAAAATTCACGGAACAGTCAGATGCGGTGCTTCTCGGCACCTGAGCATGCTCCCAGCTGAAGTGCCGTGACGCCAGCCTGCACAACTCAGCTTTGGTCTGTCTTCGCAAAGTGAATTAGTTTCAGTATCTAGTGAGCTGCGGCATCATAGGACTCTGCAGTCTCCCCAAGATTCAGTGGCCGTATCATACCGTGTCAATGTTTGAAGTGGATTGACATGCCCAAGTGAAGCGCCGCTTTTCTCTGGGCCAACTTTCGTGTCGCATCACTCTCCAGCAGCGTCGCAAGTCCAGGTAGGTGTTGAAACCTACTTCCGAGTGCAGGGGACTTCTTCGAAATTCACCAAACAGCATCGAGTTTGCTTTTGTGGCCGCATTGTGATTTCCACTACAAGCTATACGAAGGCAAAAACTTCGATAACACACCCAGTTGAAGACAAAAAGAGAAAATTGGAAAAAATGGAAAACTAAGAAAATTAGAAAAATTGGATCTGCAACACAAGCGCTTCTTGCTGCCCAGCTGCTGGGTGAAGCTATCACCTCGAGACATGTGCATGGCATCACTAGGTGTCAACAAATCATCGCCACCGCCACAACGACAACGATGACAAGCACATGCCCAACCAATGACACTCTACTATTATTATTGATTATCATTAAATTATGAACCAGACCATCAATATTATCAATTTTATCAATATCATCATCATTATCTGCTTATATAATTATTTTTAATCGTTGGCATCTTTGGTGTTCAAGGGCTGACCCTTTCCGTGGCGAGAAATGTTCCGAGGTCCAGCACGCCCGCCTGTCACCGAAGAAAGGGCAGATCTGTGAGAGACGCCAGAGGGACAATCAGAAAGCTCACCTGAGATTAAAAAGAATGATGAAACATGATAGAAGTACGTAGAAGCCATGTGCCCGTTGGGAAAGCTCCTTTAATGTGGAAGTCAAGGTTGATCGTCTGATCCCTCTTGAATGTGAATCAAACAACACCAATTTTGCGGGAACAATTTCACTGCGGGGTATGGTGACAGCTTTTAAGTACGACTCTTGCAGGTTTGAAAGTCATTCACTTCTCAACACTAGACATCAGGATGCATCAGGTGTGTGTGAAAGGCGGAGAGACTGCAGTTTGGTTCCCCTCCTTCCTTGATTCCTTTAGTTGCTTTTTGGCCACACAGAAGAACTGGGCTTCGAAGCGGTAGAAGTCCATTGCAGGCTGGTATTGCAAGAAATGGTCCAGCTTGGATGGAAGCAGGATGAATCAAGGCTTCTCCAAATCCTCCAATTCAGGCAAGTTGCAAGATTTCATCAGCATGCTATATGCAGCTGAATCGGGGTCAACGCCGTTCGCCACCATCAATTGCCTGCATTTAGGCGTGTCCCAAAATGAGGAGGCCAAAAAAGAAGCATCTGGACAACATCTGATTCTTGGGTTCAGCCTTGTTCCGCCAGTAAATGCCGACTGATGCTTGGCATTTCCCCGTGGGACAGGCTGCTTGCCACCAAGTCGCACTGTGCTGAGAGACAACTCCCACCGCACGTAGCATTGATCCATGGCGCTCAAAACCTAAACTGCACGACCCATCAACCTATCGTATCTACCGGAACCCGGTATCATTGGGTTTGCCTGTGCCGTGCATCAGGTGCAAATGCATAGGGGGCAGCGGTTCGTGCGTTTTACTTGAAAAGCATCTGTAGAACACAAGTCAAGGAGCTCCGTTCAAAGCTGTTTCTTACCACTCAGAGGATAAAACGAATAGATGACGGCAGAACAGGCAACAAACTACTGTACCTCGATCGAAAGGCCGGCGGCCCAGGCACTGTGTTGTAGCTGATAATTGAAGGCTGCAACCTGCGCGGCTGGAGCAATTTTATTGTAAGATCTGTTGGTATGCATATGGACATGGATGAATTTCCAGTATGGTGCTAGAAAATGGTGTGTTTGTTCACCTTGTTGGCACATTCACATTGTCACAGCCGCCAACCTTGAAACTGATATTATGGAAGCCAACAAACTGTTGGGCAGGCGATATTTTCAATGTCCGTTTCTGCCCCCGCAACATTGGGTTCCTGACCTCTGATGCAACATGGACAGCAGCAATGACAGGGTGAGTTGCCACCGCCCATTCTTTGCACAAGCGCCCAGAACCTCAAGGCTATCCAAAGAGCACAAACTACCGCAAAGACGGTGCCAATCCGGGAACGCTGGGAACGCTGTTTCATTGAAGTTTCCCCCAAAAAGACAAACGTGTTCTGCGAGCTTCAAAGGTTTCAATTATGCGTACCAACGTCGGATGTGAAATGCACTCCTGTGCGCTGCGGAACATTGCGCAAAGGATTCCAAGCACTTGGCATCCCGCCAAATGAGTTTGCTACCATGAGGCTGTTAGGCTCAATAGACACATGTGGAACCATACTTGACTCAATTTCCAAGTTCAACTGGTCCAAATCTCTGCAGCCTTGGCACCATGGTCCAGGACATCACATCTGGCTGCAGTTGCCATTCGAAAGCGTCGCACAAAAGTTTCAAGGCTATGCGCCATTGCCTGGGGGTCTACAGCAGACATCCATGACATCCATGACATCCATGACATCCATGACATCCATGACTGTGGCATCAGTAGGTTCAAAGGCCCCGCATTTCATCGCCACCTGGCCATCTCGCAATTTTGCAGATTGGCGTTGAGAGCAATGACCTACAGGATCCAGCACATTGGGCGACAATCTTCGACATATGATTAAGTTGGAAGGTAACAGACTCTAGGACATTGTGCACGAGCTCCCGCTGGCACATCAATGCATCATCCATTGATCTTGCTCAACTCTACCAACTGGCCAACTGAAAGCTGGGTCATGGGCTACTCAAGGCTGGAAATATTCATGGGTCATGCCGAACAGTTTGGGTGGATGTTGCCAACTTAGACCGTGGCATCTGGCTTGCAGGCCACATCTTGCATCATTTGCAGACAAAAAATCCCGCGCTGCCATTGCAGGTTGCGTTCGCAAGCACTGATTGCAGCACCTTATCTGTGGCGTGCATATGTGTTCATATCCGCTCACATGACTGGATTGTGGTGGAGTGAGACCACCTTTGAGAGGGATCGCAGTTGTGCTTTTAAATGAGGCCCGCATGCCCTTCCTATTCCAGATGCATCATAGAAATGAGTTTTGCAAGCAGAATATCCAGTCAGAATCTCGGGTGAAGGAGATTTCTGCTCCACCAAGTGGCTAAAAGAAATGACGCTGCGCCGCAGTCGTCCTTGGATACAACCGAGAAAGCTGCCATACTTCATTCTCACTGCTAAATGTAAGGTGATCAGTGATGAGTCGAAAAAAACACAACTGCAGGACATCACTAGAGCTTTCACCATTTTAAACACAAGCTGGATTGCAAACATGCAATATTTTACTCAGTTTTTGCGGTAAGCGGCTTATCTCCATGCATTCCGACATGCACCAGGCCTTTTGCCATTCCCCTCCGCTTGCGCAGGCACTGATTCCGCTATTATAGCCTCGGACCAAAGCATAGCCACCTACCCTGCTCCCTGACTTTGCAATCAGCCGGAATCAGCCGGTTAGATTCAAGATGTTGCAGCTAAGTAACTAGCCAACTCAATTTCCTAACATTATCTACATTCTCTCACATGGGCTTTTGGCCACATGACTCTGGCTTCATCGCATTTCTCTTGAGGGACCCTTGGGAGGAAATGTGTGTTTGCACGACTTTCCGTGACATTGCTGCACTCGTCCCTTGGATTCCACATACCATCGTGAAATCTCACAGAGTACATCCAGTTGTCCGGTGTACATAGCTCCTTCATGGCCCAAGGCCCGAGTAACTTACATCATTCGGCGCCACCAGATCTTCCTCCATGGTTTGCAGCAGCTGAAGAGCTTCCAGCCACATGGAGCAACCGTCAAAGGCCGAAATGACGGAGCTGTAGGCAATGACATCCTTGGAGAAGGCTAGTTGATGCTAAATGTTGTTCAACCCATAATAGGGCTACACGGATACAATAAATCAATGAGAAAATGATTTGTAACACGAGTGAAGTTGTTCTGGATCTTCAAGAATGTAACAAGATCTGGAGATTAGCTCCACCCTGACTCTTCGTGTCAAAACAACTTGCCCAGAAAAGCAAAGCAACATAGTGCTTGGCATTCTTTCCTTCGCCAGTGGCAGTTTCTATTCGCCCTTGCGTAATGTTGCATAGCCAGTATTTATTGTTTCTGTGGCACATGTGGCACGATATTATATACATATAATATATCTATATATTTATATATAATGTTAGATCAGATTGGATCATATAATATTAGAGTGCTTTTCTGTTAATCAATCATTCTTCTCCTGTTCGTTGATGAATCCAAGCATCCGGTTCTTCGGCGCTCTCCAGTAGTGCCAGAGCCCACTGCCACCTTCCTGCCTGGCCGATGCTCACATCTCATGAGGCGGGATAAACCGTGGCTATTTGGGCTCTCGCCATGTTTGTTTATCCTGCAAATTAACCTGGCTTTGCAACCCCAACAGCAGGTTCCAGTGTTCCAGGGTTCCAGGGTGCCGGTCCGATTTTCAGTGCCGACCAAAAAACCGCGCACCACTCCCAGACCCAGAGATTTGCTGTCGGGAATAACAAAAAACCTGTCGTGCATCAAAAATGATCACGAAGCTACCGGACTCACACTCAACCAAAACACTACTGTATCAGCCGTGATCCATTGCACCCATATCCCGACCCTACAGGCCCACCTTTTCACAGGCCGCAATGGCAGCACTGATTGTCACCACATCGATCAAACATCGCGACTCCTTGGCCTGGCTATCGGCCAGGGTGTGGCCCATTGATAGTTCAAATGTTGAAGGCATCAGGAGGTATGCATAGTACGATCGAGTTCAAAGTTGATTCTGCCGTTCCTTGCAGCTCGCAAATCTGAAGCAGCCGACACTTGTGTCAAGTGTGACTGACGACTAGATATTTGCCCAAGGGACAAAGACTGCAGATACTGCAGCAGTGAGATCATTAAACTAAACCCCATCTGTTGACTTGTGTTTCTAACTCCGTTAAGATTACTAACAACAAACAGCTAGAAGAATCTGCCAATTTTCCCCCCAGAAAACACCATCTTTCACATCCCATTTTGTAAACAGCCGTGACCCACGGGCTGCAGGCATGGCCTCATCCAAGAGCTTCAGGGCCACAGTCCATTCACTCGCCTTCTCGCAAGCCTGACTTTTTGGTGATGAAATCATCCAACTTTGGAGGAATCCAAAGTTGGATCCGGAATAGGAAAGTTGGGAATGATTCAATATTATTCAACCAGATTCAATCATGTATGTCATCTACATGCTTTTAGCTCCTGTGAAAGTCCTGTAGGTGAATGACGACATGAACTGGCACACAGCAACATCAGAATCGTGCTTACCCGGGGACCTTGATATCTCCAAAAGCAGACCAGAGATTCTTGATGATTCTTGCCCACTAATGATCACTAATGGTACAGTATACTGCGGATTTCATTTTGGCCAAAGTATATACGATTTCATTTTTCTCTGAGGATAGGCGGAAAGACCGGAACCAATATGACACAGGTTTGGAAATCTGAAACATCACGCAAGGAGGCGTCGACCCACTCCCTTCTGTAAGTCCCAGTGACGCTGATAGCACCTTGGGCCACGTGCAGAAAGGCAAAAAGAAGTGCAACAAATCATTTGAATTTGAAGGACATTGTCAGGCAACTGATGAGAAGACTTCAACTTACAGTAAATTTGTTTTCAAGAAACTGTTGAAACTGATGATGTCGTAAAAGCCTCCCCATGCCATCTCTTGTAGAAGTACGAGTGCCACTGTCCATTCGCCTGGCAGAATTGATAAGTAACGAGGGACTCACCGGGCCCCACAATCCACATCCACCACCAGCCTGCTTTCTCACAGGCCTTCAGGGCTGCATTGTGACCTCACAAGATGGTACTAGACCCACATGGAAATCTAACCCTGACTCTGGGGTTTTGCTACCTACTTCTTTGAGAAAAGCCGCGCGCGAACAAATGATGCAAACAAAACAGCCCACTCAAATTGACCAGTATCTTCGGGTGCGTCTATATACAGTCTCTAAAGTCATGTTTATGCATGGTGGCACGACAACAACAAAGCCCATCTAAACCCACCATCTTTCCAAAGTCATCAGCTGGGAATGCACCCTGACAACTTCCAAGGGCAAGCAGCGACTGCTGATAACAAGACATGGCAATACATGTGTTTTCATACATGGCATTCATCCACCAAGGTGTTTGTCGGTCTTTTTAGTAATGAAACAGCTTGATAGCCAGGGACCCTTAATCTTCTGCCCAAGGGGCTAGGTGCTGTGTTCTCCAGACCTTGCAGTGACCTCGGAACCGGAAGCGGCGTTGCTGTCAGGCTATCGCATCAAAAAGCACATAAATTTGGGAGAAAGTATCGTCATCTTGTCAATATATCTAACTTAGGCATTGGGTGTATGGTTTTTGTTGAAAACAGCAACGAAAGATCCAACTTGTGGGGGGTAAATGGATTCCACCAAGATGGCCCCTCACGTAATTTCGAAGAATCTCCAGCAACCAGCTCAACATGATACTTAATCCAGGCAGGGTTTTCTACCAACCCGATTTCACAGAGTGAAAGATCCACAGCCATCTTGTCCCAGCTGCATTTTTGCCAACAAGTTCAGTGCTTGTGTCCAATCCACGGTGGCCTTAGGAGACCAGTCCCCACTAAGCTTCGCTCACTGTTGAAACGTGGCCATGCAATTGCAAACTAATGCAAAGTAGATAAGTTGTGAAAACTACATATACATATATATCAGGAGGTATATATTATATGAATGATAATCTGGTAATCCATGATAAGACCATGAGCTCAGCGTTCTGGACCTCACCGTGATGCCTTCTCTGATGCCTTCGAAGAAAATTGTATTTCTGACATTCAGCGTGTCGTGAATTCCAATTGCAATTGCAGCTCTGCTAACAAACTTCCAAGACCTAACTCAACCTGCTTCTAACACCCTAGAAACACCATGCAAATTCCTGGCACAGGTGACACAAGGTTCAACCATTGCCGAGTGGCCATGATAGCAGCGCTGTAGGTCACTGCATCCGGCTTCACCAACTGCTCTGACCATCTCCTGGGCCCACCAGAATACCAGTAATCGTCCAGAATCTTCCAGAATCTGTTAGAATCTTCCAGAATATCTGCAAGATTCCGCAAGTCTAACAGGCTTGGTGTTCCTTGATCTTTTGCCAGATATCTTCCAACCGTCAGCCAAGTCGCAGTAGCTGAGCGACAACGTGTGGTTGATCGCGGCAGGCATTGATCGCCAAGTTCAAACCCATTGTGTCCTGCAAAGGTCGGGTGTCTCAAATTGTGTCAATATGTGCGTACAATGAATGTATGAACTTATACTGCGACAATCGTGTCATCCCCATCTCCAAACCAGTCCTGTTTCAGTCTGCGTTCAAACATTTGATCAAATAGTCGCAGTGCCATTCTCCAAATCTTCACCTGGAATCTCCAGCCCCTCTCCAACTGTCACAAGTGATACAGAATTGCTCCGCTTGAAGAGGCTCCCAAAAAGTTGGAGGACACTACGTGTCTGTAGGCAAGATCCATATGCCAGATACATCCTGTGATTCTCGCAACTCTGGTGTAAAATGGTGTCCGGTGTCCATCAAATCAAAGGGGATAAGTCTTGCCAATGCTTATGACATGGATGAAGAGGGAAATATCAAGTTGCGCCATTCCAACCCTCATGGCACCTGTGCACACACGCTGATGACAGTGTTGTAGCTTGTCGGTGTTGGAAACGCCTGCAGGTTGGATATTGGAGGTGACAAGACTCTGATGCCTAGCTGCTAGTTGCGTGCGCTGCTTCGTCTCCATGTTTTCCAGCATCTTCCATTAACTTCCAACTTTCCCAGTCCGCCAACCGCGATCACCATAGAACCATCCATGCACCGAACCCTCGCACAGAGCCCTTGTACCGAACCCTGCACAACTCTATGGGATGCGCCTGCAAAGCATCAAGACATCTCTCCCACTGTGAAGCACCCCATGAACTCATCGCTGAATTCATGCCTCAGCTCAACTTGGGTCATCTCCACACTGAATCACCTGATTCCAAGATATTCCAAATCTAAACTTGGCAATTCAGAATCTTGGCTCGAACTCGGACACCCACATGTGGCATACTGACCGAATGAAAGGCTTCGAGCTAGCTCCACATGGCTCAACCCAAACATCCAAAGGCACTAGCCTATCATCTGTTACCATATCTCAAAGTTCCCCAATGCCGTCTATTGCCAAGCAACTAATTTGGTTTGATCTGAGTCTGGCTGTGTTCAAATCCTGCAGAAGCCACATTGCGGCCTGGCATCAAAGAAGCTCGAAAGACCATCGAATCTAAAAATACCTCCAGTTGAACACCATGGCCCCCGCCTCCCAGCCAGGCACAAACGTCAAGGCCGTGTTGAAGGTGATGATGCTGGGATGGATGGCTACCTCATGTGGCAGAGATGATGCCCACTGCTGATCAGCTTCAATGATGGAACTTTAATGTGGGACATGGCAGCCTCGAACATCTGTTGCATCAGCTGAAGCATCGTTGGCCACTGCTCTGATGATCCTGAGAGCATGGCAAAAAGGTCAGCAGATTAACTGCCGGTTTTGATGAATCCTTCAGCCCTAAATTATCCTTTGGAGGCAGCCGCTTCAGTCCCATAGTCATATCAGCAACTGCTTGGCCCAGTCTCCCAGGACCTTCATGGCAGCATTGAAACTTACAGTGTCGCATTGAAGCTGACGTTCGTGCATGGACCTGCTGGGCTCCCAATCACGACCACCCCAATGCATAGACTCAACTGCTGGGCATGGTCCATGGTTCAATGCTTGAAGCCTGCGTGCCAGTTGCATGCCCATCTTTTAAAATTTTGGAAATATTTTTTTAACGCAGCGTCCCTATTTATTTTGGATGTGTTCTGCTTGCTGGCGAAGTGGAATCACGGGGCCTTAGGAGATGCAATGCCAAAGGCCAGGAACCACTGGCCGCAATGATTGCATTCATGCACTGCAGGTCTGGCCAAAGCCTTGGTGCCAGGCTTAACGTGTCATAGACAAATATTTCAAATACACGTAGGAACGGTTTCCCATAATTTGGAACCAGGAACCTGTTACTCAATGGATGTGGCATGTTCTTTGAAGTCAACTTCGAATTGAAGCTCATTCAATGATGGCTCAACTCTTTCCAGGCCCGTGCTGTCCTTTCTGTTTCCAATTTCCATCCTTTTGTGGCCCCGGCTGTTGAACACCTTAGCCTAGTGCCAAGGTATTCAGCTACCCGTAGGTGGATGCAGCCTAAGGTTTTTAAGGCTGGGGTGAAAACCTTGGCCTAACATAGTCGCAACTTTTCAGGCTTGACCCTGACCTAAAGGTGAAAACCTAGGTCAAAACATCTGAACATAAAAACACCTTGCTTAGGTATATGATGCTGAAAACCTTGAGCCCAAGAATCGCAATCCCAGTTCACTTTTTTTATAACTTTCGATCCAAGCTCTTGACAAAAACTATAGGTGGACGATGCGGCGGCGACACTGGTGGATCAGAAGACCGAGGTGTAGTTGAAAGTTTCCAAATGCGTTGACGAACAAGTGGCTCCACCAATGAGTATATAATCGATTGCCTGTGGAGACCCATGGAAGACCCATAAATACACTAAATTCAAGGAGCCAACTTTCGATTGATTGTATGAATGATCACTTTGATTTTTGGGTAATGACGCAATCTTGTTGGCGCCCTCTCTTTTTGATTGTTTTCCGGCTGCCCCGTGCCCAGGCAGATGGAAAGGGACAAGCAGTTAAAGAGGAGGCAAGGGTTGACAAACTTGCGCCGGAGAACAGTGCCCGAAGAAAGCCAAACAGATCCACATGTTCTTTGGGTCAATCCCTTCTAGACCCTCTAGGGTTAAATACCTTGTTCCGAGGTCCCAGATTTGTGTGATATGCTTGTTGACCTGCGGGTCCTGCGGGAGGTGGCAGGTTCAACCAGGCCAACCATGAACACTAAAATCCCATCAAGACAATTTGAACCATTTTTGCATCCACAAAGGGGGGCCCCTTGAAGTCCACCGATGTAGCCAGTTTTGCATGGTTTGCGGGTCTCTGAGCTTGCTCCGTGGTTCGGTTCTCCGGCGTAAATACCTGGGCCCAAGGTTTATGCATGCTTTAGTGGAAACATCATAATCATCCATTTCCTCTGATCCCGTTGCAGATGAACTCAGATGCCTTCTCCAGGTGGGCGATGCACCGGCGATGCCGGATCAGAAGACCGAGGTGTAGCCGAAAGTCTGGGATTGTTTGAGGTGTTTAGGGTTTGTTGATTTTGTTGTCCCAATCACTGATACCACTGTTTTGGAATGTGTTGACGAAAAAATGGCTCAACCAACCAATATAATCATTTTTTGGGCTTTGCTCTGTGAAACAATATTCTGCGGGAATCAACGGAAGATCCAAGAGATCAAGAAGTCAAGTTCCGGTTGTTTGCATGATCACTTTGATTTTTGGGTAATGACGCAATCTTGTTGGCGCCTTCTCTTTTTGATTGTTTTCCGGCTGCCCCGTGCCCAGGCAGATGGAAAGGGACAAGCAGTTAAAGAGGAGGCAAGGGTTGACAAACTTGCGCCGGAGAACAGTGCCCGAAGAAAGCCAAACAGATCTACATGTTCTTTGGGTCAATCCCTTCTAGACCCTCTAGGGTTAAATACCTTGTTCCGAGGTCCCAGATTTGTGTGATATGCTTGTTGACCTGCGGGTCCTGCGGGAGGTGGCAGGTTCAACCAGGCCAACCATGAACACTAAAATCCCATCAAGACAATTTGAACCATTTTTGCATCCACAAAGGGGGGCCCCTTGAAGTCCACCGATGTAGCCAGTTTTGCATGGTTTGCGGGTCTCTGAGCTTGCTCCGTGGTTTGGTTCTCCGGCGTAAATACCTGGGCCCAAGGTTTATGCATGCTTTAGTGGAAACATCATAATCATCCATTCCATCTGGAAAAACAGACACCATCAGACACCAGGCGTGTCTGAAAGTACTGTGTTTGATCCTCATTTTCCCGATACAGAAACATGTGCGTGCATATTCTATATTTAAATATATACATATGCGAACGCATATTCATAATGCAACATCCACAGTGGTCACATGCAGTCATCATTTTTCTTAATCGTTGTTCAAGGACAGGGGCTAAAAACCTATGATGTAACATTCCCAGTGATTTTCAAGTTTGTTTTGTCACAGGGCTGAAAAGCTGGTGGCCCAACATCTTCAAAGATTTCTCTGTTCACAAGGTCTGGTGTCTGAAAACCTAGAGCCCTTGATATCGACATCAAACCAGACTACCATCATTGCAGAGGATGAATTCCAGAGACTAAGGTTATGCCAGTATGTTTCAGCCACCATGCCCGTGGCTAAAAAGGGTGGCACTAGCCTCATTCAATGATGGCTCAACTCTTGCCAGGCCCGTGCTGTCCTTTCTGTCTCCAAATTCCATCCTTTTGTTCTGTCTTTTCTCTTGTCTTTTTTCTGGTGTTTTTTTTGTTTGGTTCTTTTCTTTGTTCAAATATTATTGTTCGTGTGTTTTTCTTTTCCTTTTGCTTGTTTTCTTGCATTTTGTTCCTTGTTTCCTCTTTTCTCTTCCTTTGTTCTTCCTTCTTTTTCTTGCCTGCTGCTGAATAAAAATATGGAGGGCCAACTCTGCGACTTTGTCGTGGAGCCTGCTTGTGCCACAACAATCGAAGCACATGTTTTTTTGATCATAAACTGGGATGTAAGTTGGTGCTCTGCCCACGAAATGTATTTTCCATATGCTTCCACTACCCTGAGAATATCTCAGTCGTGCCAAGTATCTGGAGGTCTTCCATCCAATACCTCAACACTTTAAGCAGGGATAATCCAAGTGTTCCTTCCAACATGTCTGATTGACGCAAACAAAAGCAAAAGTAGTTCTATTATGTTCTATTGCACAATAAGTTCTGACTTATCATACGCAATGACCAATGTGCTTGCTACAGCATTGCCTCCAAGTATGAGCCGAGGAGCACTGCTTCTACTGCTTGCTGCCACTGTGAACCTTCCCAGAGCTCACAGACACTGGGATGAAATCGTGGCAGGATTCGGCAGGATACAAATTGTCGCCTTCGCCACACGCAGAGATCAATGAACTAAAGGACATCACGTCAGGCTGCAACTGCACCTGCCACGGAAGTTTGTGGGTGGACAGTGGACAGTGAATAGCATGTGCTTCAGATCTAGATTTCATACGAGCTGCTCGTGCTGATGTTCTTTTGTGACGGCAAGATCGACTCATGGAACATTCCGTTGATAGAGGCAAAGAGAGCACCGTAATAAAAATGCATGGAAGTCTTTGACAGGTGCTACATTTCAATTCCAGCAATCGTTAAGCTGCGAGCTATCCTCCAAACACTCCTCCAGGATGGATAAGGCTTCCGTCCAGCGCCCGGCAGCCTCACAGGCACCTGAAGCTCTTTTGATGTCCATGCAAACAGTCCCTCAATCTGACAGCATATAGAAGTTCTAGAAGCCATTTGCAAATCATTTGCCATTTGCACCAAACAAAGTACACAACTGATCAGCTGCGCCAGGTCCATGGCTCCCTCGTGGCAACACATTTGGATAATGTCTAAATGTTCAAGCAGTGGTTCCAAAATGCGGCACCGTTTACATAGATATATATATATAGAGAGAGTACAGATTATATAGATACAATCTATAAATATTTATAGATTATCGTCCCTCGTAGCATTCCACCAATAGATCCAGGCCACTCATAGCTGCACCGAAGCTCTTTACGTCCGCTTGGGCTTGGGACTTGCTCATCTCGTCAAGGAGCCTCAGTCGGCATGGGATTCGGCATGGGATTCTATGGGATGGGGACTCAAAATCTGCTGATTGCAACAGTGAATGGCCACAGCAAGTCAAAACAATGGGCCTCTGTGGGGCGGTAGCTCCAAACATCGAAATTATGTCAAAGTCTGTCCACTGCTGCTGGCAAGATGGTGATTTCCCAGATGGACCTCACATCAGCATCCAACTGAGCCAAAGGGCCGCAAACACAGCTGCCATTCCTTCCTGGCTGCCACCATGGTGACACCTCGAGACAATCCGAGCAAAGTCAACGCCGAATCCCCAAGGAGTTGGAGAATACTGGTGAATACTGGTGCTGGTGATCCACAATCATCTTCCACATGTCCTCAATAATCCACATTTTCCCAAAACAAACCAGAAACTGCCATCTGGCATAGAGGGATCAAAGTAGACCATTCACAAATGGCTGTGCACTCCATTGAACCAAGCTGCAAAAGCTGAGGGGCTGCAATGGGAGTCCATTTCCAGCAGCTCTCTGCAATAGTGCCGTTGCAAATGGCCAAGTTGAAGCCCTGTGAGCACCCAAAACGCCTTGGCAAAAAGACTGCCGTTTGGACGGATACACAGATCCTCCTGCGCACATCTCTGCTACCGTTTCTAGCAGCACCGACTTTGCAGAAGCCGCTGCCAAGAGGCTGTTGTAATGAATGACCTTAGTGCATCAGTGCGCATCGGAGAAAGCGCAAGCATAGAGTTTTCATCGCTTGGGAGAACATTCGCTGTGCTAGGATGGATCCTTTTGAGATTAGGTTGTCATGCCATGACAGTTAAATGTATTCTGTAGAGAGGAAACACCTTGAAACGCATATGCAATCGGTTGGAGCAACATCAATCAACCAATCAAGAATGGGCATAATTACTTTGTTTTGGATGGAGACCGCATAGTAGGACTACTCCAGTGCAAAGTCTATCCACTGAAGTTGCCTCGCCATTCTTGCAAGACCCAGAACCCTTACAGTGTGGACATCGGAGTTCTCTAGCAAGCAGAAGCATCAATGAACAAAAAATGCAAACACGGGGCCTCCCCATATCTGGGCAGAGATAGTCCTCCCAAAGCATCAAACACCCCTCGCAGCTGTCCCCTCTCAGCTGCAGACATCAGTGCGAAGCTCTCGTCGTTCCATGGCTTTGAGAACTTCCAGTGCTGTGGTGGCAAAGGACTGCTTCCCCAATCCGCTAAGAACCTGGGGTGCCATATGTCGTGGTTTCAAATCCGGCCATTCAAAGGTTGAAATCAATGTCGACGAAGAAGTTCATGTTGTGGCCAACACGCAGCTTTTACAAATGTGTGGTGCTGAACGTCGAGCTTTGCAACTTATCCTAGCATGTTGAACTCCAACTCAAATGCTCTTCAAAATTGAGACGTGCAACGACACGCAGCGTCTGTTTCCGCTTCAAGAAAGCAATATCGATATAAAATCAAGTATATAATTGCGTGATGCGTCCACAAAAAAAAAACAGCCAAGCCCAATATGGGATTTCCAGCCACGAGGCAGCCGTGGCCAACTGAGGTCGATGTCGCCAGTCCTATCCGGTAAACCATCCGGCGACACAATTTTTGGGTCAAAGATGGTCAAAGCGTCTCCTCAAAGACAACTTCCAGAATCTTCTCCACATCATTGCCGCTGGGGGACCGACCTGAGCAAAGTTGTTGGTGTTCCCAGAAAAAAACTTACGGCCACCTACTTGATGGCCAGCACCAGTCCATGGATTTCCTTCTTCTGGTGCTTGGTATATCTTGGTATCAGGTGCAACGAGAGCTATAAACTTAGCTGACTCCGTGGTACCTCTCAGAACCCATGTGTGGCTTCGTCGAAGCTCACCGAGCGTAGGGCTTGGAAATTCTGAACCCTTTGAAGACCACGTTCTTAAGTTGTAGGGCTGTCTGGAACTCCACATTTGAGAACTTGAGATCTGAAAAAAGTCACTTCCAAAGTTACTTCACTACTGAAGGCAGTTGTGTCAGCCGAAGCATCCCGCAACAAGAACCCAAATCCTTGAGGTTTCAGACCCAGCGAACTCAAGGCCTGCAATTTGCTGCGATCTCCTGCGGCCACAGTGTCATGGCAATCAGAGATGCCTTGTAAAAAAAAACAAACAAAAAAAGGGGGATGCAACCTGGGAATCTTAAAAAACAAAAAACATGAAGCAATTCGGTTGGTGCCAAATTTCGTTCGTGAAATCTCCATCAACCAGCGACCCAGATTTGGCGTCCAGCCGCAGCCATGGCCCATCATCTCGCGCCCCCGAATTCCGGCAGAGGCTGGGCCAAGACATCGAACGGCCAGGCAACGCGCACGACGTCGTCATGGGTTAGCAAAGGTGCTTAGACCGTCACTTAGACCCAGAAATCTTCAAACACTACATCGGACATCATCAGACTACATCCCTGCCACCATGCCTCAGGTATGGTTCTGGCCAAACCCAGACGACGGCTGGGTTCCAGCAAGTCACCACCACCTCGATTGCTTGCAACATGCCACTGAGCACTATGACATATCCCTGCAAAAGTGAAGGTAATACTGTACACTATGTGTGGATGTGTTCCATCAACACCTCGATATATATATATATGTGTGTGTGTGTTTTTTTTCGAAGTTCGCGAGGCTGAAGTTTCTTGTTGCCATTCTCAGCTATCGAAATTAACATCTATATATTCATTGCTCAAATTCAATCTTGAAGTCGTCTGCCATGGCACCCAGAGGCGCAAGTCGCACTTCCTGTTGGCCACGAGTAGAGGACGCTCCACGTATCTGAGTCCACAGTCGAATGGTGCAGGTGCAAGGTCTGCAAAAGATGGATGTAGATGGTAGATGTATTGGAATAGAAAGGCTTTCATCAAGCAGCCGGCATCAGGCAGACTTGCTTCGTTGGAGGGCACATGAGGGCACCAAGCACTTGCTCCTTCTGTCACTAGGAATCTAAGTTAAGGATGTCAAGGGGGCGATTCCTCCTGATGTTCGGTCCAAGGCCGGGACTTCTGTACGATTACATTCCAATCAGCCCGCTCTGCCTGCTTTGGCCACGGCAAAGAAAAATTTTGCACCCTTTGGGCGAAGGATGTACACTGGGTGACTAGATTCCAGATCAGATCAATTCCTTCCGTTCACGTGCATCAACTATCACTGACATGTTCGGATATCATCAGGTATTGTGTGACAACTGTGTCAACATGTAACATCAAAGATTCTTTCAGATCATCAGCGCATCATCATTTCATTTATCAGATGTCATCAGGACTCATCAGATATCTATAAAATGTATTAACATCTATTAACATGCATAACTTGCATAACTTGTGATCAACTGATCTTTCTTTTCCACTGCGAGGCGAGTTGCCTCCTGGAGCAAGGGGAGCAACTCCGAAAAACAACGCACGCCACGGCCACAGTTCAGGCTGGGCTCCTGAAGGCATCAAACGGCGTCAAAAACGGCTCGACGTTAAATGAGAAAAGCATTTAACCGTCGCTGATCATACGGAAATATATAAGTTATATAAGTATATAATGATGGTTAATAGTGATTTATAATGGTTGATGATGGTTAATAGATGTTGATAGTATATGGGTGTGTCTGAAAATGTCGTGTACCCCATTTTCCCAATGGTTTTGCTGATCATTATCCCGTTTTTAAATGGCTATAATTGGGGGTATACCCTATTTTCAGACAAACCCATATAATAGTGTTGTTTACGACTTAGTCAACCAGTCACTGTTGTTTACCAGTTAGTCAATGTATTTTGTCAAATCTTGTCTAGTCTTGCCTGGTCTTGTCTCCTCTTATCTGGTCTAGTCTGTCCTCTCTGGTTCTCTCTCTTTCTCTGTCGCGTGCCTGTCTATCAGTCTGCCTATCTCTTTCAGTCTGTCTGACTCTGTTAACATGGGAAGCAGCAGCCTGGATAACAAGTCAGAGAAACATGCCCCAAAGTGGATGTGATGTTTCTGTCTTGCGAATTCAAGAAATGTAAGATTCGGAGAATTGCTAACAACCAACCAACCCAAACCCACAGGGAACCAAAGTATGAGTAGATATATATATATATACTGTATTACATTTGCCAATGTATGGACTGAAAGAAATTTTGAAGAACCAAGCTCAATTTGTCAAACCTTCTGGTGGTATGCCAGAGACTCAATACATCCAAGGAAAACTGACACATTATCGGATGACTTTACTGGAACATGATGGAACATGTTTTCAGTGTCGAATTTCAGGTGAAGTCCCAATGGAAAGGAGCCAAGCCGTTGAGCGGTTCCTTCAGGATCCAGAAGCCGTGCACACCGTTCAGCGAAAACTGCCTCTGCTCCTGAAGTCAGTGGAAATTCCTATTCGGGTCATTCCATGAAGCACCAAGAAAGTGTTCGTCCTGTTGCTGCAAATGCTCGCGCCTAAGTTGCTGGTGCACGTCGCAGCAAGTGCAATGCCATTAAGAGTCCGGAAGCATCAAACTTTCTATGCCGCTAATCTGCAAGGGTGCTCTGTACTCGGCATGGGGAAAAAACGATACAAATAGGTTTGCTCGTGCTCTTGTTTGCAATGAAAATCGTTGGTAGCCGCAAGACGTTCACTGCGCCAAGTTGCCACCAACGGGCTTCAAGCATCACCGCAGATAAGATCAAGCCCTCCTGACAAATGTCAACAGTTCATGGTCCAACATCTAGTCTAAATAGGCTAAATAGGCGTCTAAATAGGCTTGATTGGCTGCGCGGCTGCAAGGTTCGGCTTGGCTCATCCAGGCCGCGTCCTCACTTTCGCCTTTCTCGGCAATGAGCCGAAGTAGCAAAGCCTTCATGAAGAAAGCTGTGGATGGTAAAGCTACTGGATGCTATCGACTTGTTACAAATGTTTCGAAAGCTTTGGCAAACATCTCAAATAGCCATGGCTCAGCATCTGGTCACTCACCTCAACTATTTTGGCATAGTTTAGCATTCAATCTCCTCCTCAACCACCACCAGGACCACTTGTGGGAATGATAAGGCTTACATATCTTACATAGAATAATGATGAATAATGAATGTAATGAGTGTTATGAATTATGAATATCATGAATTTTATGAACATAATGCATATGATACAAATATGAATACAACGATACAAATGACAATTACACAATGATACCATGCTCAAAATAGTGCAATATGCCCGCGGCCTGGGCCTCCGCGTTGGGAGCACCTGGAAGCGTGCACCCAGCTCTTTAGGGTATTCATTCGACCCCCGAAGTTGAGACCGGGTGCAGCTGTACACCCTCTGTTTCCTTTGCCTAGCATTGTCATGCCTCTTTCTAAAAGGTTACCGTCCCAGGCAGGTTGCTGGTGACAAGCTGCAAGGATAGCGTTCAGTCATTTTTGGGTGAGCTCATTTCACCCCCTGACCACAGCATGGGCCTGGCTGCAGGACCCACCTGCGATTCGCGGATTCCGGGCTATGCATGTCAGAAGCTTCGCAGGAATCGTTCCGGAAAATCTGTATAGCCAACAGGCCAAGCCGATCATAGCAGTACAATCCCAAAAAGCTTGGCTTTTTGGAACTTCAGAACAGTATGATCCCTCCATAGGTTGGTTCCATGTGATCTTCGCTGCCCTCACCCTCAGTCTCGCTAGCATTGCTAGCCATTTTTGAAGATGCTTCCTGAGCCCCCCCCGGTGCTGGGTATCCCAGGCTCATCCTCATGGGTGAAGCCGACCCCTTCCTGGCGACAGGTGGACTGATGGATAGCATTTCAAGCCCAGATATCAGTTCGGTGGGCCACATGAAGAAAATATCGATGATCTTCGTTTGGGGGCAAGCACTTTCAATGTCAAGTCTGGAAAATACCAACCGTCAAGGCTTGTGATGTCACAACGCCCTCCAATTGTTGAAGGCAGCCCCATCCTGGAAATCCCTGAAGCTGGCACCTGAGAGGCAATGGGTCAAGTTTTTGCTGTGATGTCCAGAAAACTGAGGATTCCATCAAGAATTAACATGGTCCGTTTAGCAGAGAAGCTGCTTTGATAGGTTTTGCCCGATGCAATTTCTGAAAGTATCAGAATCATTACAGGGGTTCCTTTGTCAATCGCTTCTTGGCAGAATCTGAGGAACAAGAACCCCCTGAGGACCGTAACGTTGCCCGCAGAGAACTTGGCTCTGCAAAACCTGGTGGCTTCATCCAATAGATCGATCACTGACATGAAAACTGGATGTCGGCCATTTGCAGGTGAAATTTGAAGGAGGTTCACGACACCCCGGCCCCTGATGGAAAAGGCTATTTCAAAAGCATGCCAAAGCCGCGCCAGTTCTTTTTTTGGCCATCTTCCACAACTTCTCAGTAATACTAACCCCTGGCACATCAACTCCACAAAAACCAAAATCGGTAGAACAGAATGATGCGAACTTAATATGTTCATTCGGTTGAAGAAAGCACAATTTGAGGTCAAGACCTGTGCATGAGACAGCCTCCCTAGCAAACGACATGCCTGGAGAAGGCCTGGACGTCAGACAGATGACAGCAATGAATCATCTAACAGATCAATGGATGACATGATTCGTCTGATTCGTCTGATTCGTGACGATAGATGAGCGTCACAGAAATACATTGAGCTCAGGCGGATGTAATTCTGGTAGCCCCCATCTGATAGGGTCTCAAGGAGTCAACAGCAGCCTTCCTAACTCTTCGGTCCCTAGGTCCTTTTGTCTGAGCAGAACGAATCCTGCTTCCTTTGTCCCACCCAAAAACAGTCCTTGAAAGCAAAGAGTCATGCCAGTCCTAAAGTGAACTCAACACCTGGTGCCACCCACTTCAAATCAGTATATAGATATATGGTGAAATCATCTTCCCCGCGCTCGCCTGAAGCCACACCAAGGTTTGGAGAGGCCAAGGCCGCGTCTCCCAACATGGCTTCAGCCCGCGTGACCTTTGCCAAATCATTGCCATCATATCGTCATCATATCGTCATCATTGTCATCATTGTCTCAAAGTTTGGTCCCACAACCATCCACGACTGAAGGATCTGAAGGGTTTCCAACTCCGAAGGTCCAGGTAGACCGTTTTTGGAGGGAACGTGTTGAACGTGTTATCTCCGTTATGTCCATCAGGACATCAGGTCTTTGGATGGCATGGTCCATGCATGGCAATGGCTGAGGCGGCCCACAGCGAAGTCCAAGAGGAAACTCCGGAGCTCTCGGCTGCTTCGAAGGTCGTAGCTCTGAGGGCGGATTGGTGTGAGAAATTGCCAGGGCCTTGCCCCAACAGAATGTGAAAACATGTGGAAACA